TTTTTTTTTTTTTTTTTTTTTAGTAAAGCTCACCATGTAAATTTTGACGAGCTGCTAGGGGAGGTGTGGTGGATAGTGGAAGATGTGCTCCCAGCCTTCTGGCAGCTTTGTGGGGAAGACAAACCTAACTCCCAAAAGCACCTAGGGAAAAGATACTCCGTGACGTAGTACTGACCAAGAGATCCTTCACACAGAAAGGTCTGTATGCAATGGAGACGCAGCTGCTGGGAGGGATTTGAGTTGGTGTTTGAAGGTGAGAAGAGGGTGTGTGCATCTGTGTTTGTGTGGCCAGCAGATCGGGGCAGAGGGGTTAAGGAAGAGCTAATCTGGACCTTCCACAGACACAGACGAGAACAGATGTCAAGCAGACCTGGGAATCCTGGCTTTGTGAGTTCATGGGAAACAGCGGGGCCAACAAATGGACTGGGGATTGAGGGATGGGGAGGGGCGGAGGAAAGACCCTGAAGTCCTCAGAAGCTGAGCTGTGGAGTGCAAGTTGTATGTTGTAGACCGCAGACCCCAAGCTGGCCATCTACAGGTCATTCTGGCACATGCACGGTTTTTGCTCAGCCTTCAATGGCTCTTTATTCTGTATATTTTGAAAGCTTCCATGCACACAGCCAGGTTGAAAGAATTTTCCAGCACACGTCTGTACATCCACCACCTGTGCTCTACCAGTAACCTCTGCCGTACTTGATTCTTATTACCTAGCTATCCCTCCCTCGGTCTACTTTTCTGTTGCATTTCAAAGTGGTTTGCAGATACCTGTTTACCTCCCTGTAAATACTTCGGCGTGTTAGTGTTAGCTAGAGTTGAGGTTTTGTGTATAGTTCGTTCTTTTGATAGTAAAACTTACATCTGTAGTGTTTTTTTTTAAATGTTTGACCTCGGTATTCAAAGTTGCGAGGCTTCCTATAAAAATTGGGATTTCTGACTTCCTTTGAGCATCAGCGGATCTGGCCATACCAGGCCTGCATTTTTCCCCGGCAGCGAAAAGCCAAGTAATGGTTGAGTGCTCACCAGTCCATCCCAGTCCCCACTACGGTCCCCCACCTCTGTCTCTGACACTGAGGAATGAGTGTCCCTTGCTTGATACCTACACCTGGCCCACACAACTCAAAACAGCCTGGCCCCGGGGCGCCTGGGTGGCGCAGTCGGTTAAGCGTCCGACTTCATCCAGGTCACGATCTCGCGGTCCGTGGGTTTGAGCCCCGCGTCGGGCTCTGGGCTGATGGCTCAGAGCCTGGAGCCTGTTTCCGATTCTGTG